TATATAATTAAAATCAACAATTTATAGGCAGCATATGTCAGTCATTGGAGGGGCTCAGAGCAAGTAGATGGACTCCTCTCACTGGGAGGCTATTCCGGATAGGCCTGCCAGAAGAGATCCATCTTTACTGCTTTCTTAAATGCAGCAAGAGTATTAATAAGACGGATCTCGTCCGGCAGGCCGTTCCACAGCCTGGGAGTGGTTGCAGAGAAGGTCCTCTGGGAGGTCTGCGAGAGCCTGGTCTTCATAGGCTGCAGCAGATTCCTCCCAGAGGACTGAAAGGCCTGAGGGGACTCATATGGGGAGAGGCAGTCCCTAAGATAAGATGGACCCAAGCCATGTAGGGCTTTAAAGGTTGAAACCAACACCTTGTACTGTGCCTGGAAACTAATCAGCAGCCAGTGGAGGGATTTAAGCACTGGTGTTATGTGCTCCCTCCTGGATGTTCCGGTAATTAATCTGGCTGCCATATTTTGTACCAATGGCAGTTTCCAGGTTAGGCACAAGGGTAGCCCCATGTAGAGTGCATTGCAGTAATCCAGACGTGAGGTTACCAAAGCATGTACCACAGTTTCCAGATCCCTCATATTCAGATAAGGGCACAGCTGGTGTATCAGCTGAAGCTGATAGCAGGCACTCCTGACCGCCACATTCACCTGACTAGTCATGTGAAGTAATGAATCTAAGAGCACCCCCAGACTGCGAACACAGTCCTTCGAGGAGAGTGTGACTCCATCCAGGAGGACTGGAGACTGTATTCCCAGATCTGGTTTCGGGCCTGTGACTGTGAGTACCTCTGTTTTGTCTGGATTCAACTTCAATCTGTTTTTCCTCATCTAATTCATTACTGCTCTGAGACAGTCATTAAGAGGAGAGATGCCATCTGAAGTCTGAAACAATGATCTAGGCATGGAGAGATATATCTGGGTGTCAGTGTACTGAAGACACTGTGCTCCATGCCTCTGAATGATCTCGCCCAGCGGCTTCATATAGATGTTAAATAGCATCGGGGACAGGATGGTGCCCTGAGGGATGCCACAATTATGCTCTATTTTAGATGAGCAACTGTCCCCGAGCCTCACCCTCTGGAATCTACTCGAGAGGAAGGAATGGAACCACTGGAGCGTGGTGCCTCCAATTCCTAACCCTCTCAGGCGGTCCAAGAGGATGGCATGATCTATGGTATCGAAGGCTACTGAGAGATCCAGAAGCACCAACAGGGTCACACTACCCCTGTCGATGCTCAAGCTGAGGTCATCGGTCAGAGCAACCATGGCA